TGCTCTCAGTCCTGCCCGCAGAGGCTCTGCTTCTCAGTGTCCCAGTAATCACTGCAAGCCCCTCCGAGAGAAAGCTGCCCTAGGGTTCTGAGCGATGCCAGACAGTCCCGCTTCTCTCGTTTGAGTCTGGGTCCCTAGAGACTCGCCCGGAGCTGGAGCTCAGAGCCTGAGACTCCCGCCCAATTGAAAACGACAACCACACCCTCAGCCGCCAGCCCGCTCCGCATGCACTCCGCACCTTAGTATCTCACTTCCGCACTGCGCCTCCTCTGAGTCTCAGTGTTTTTCTCTTTCCTCCTAGTTGTAGAATTTCCACTCAGCCAGCCTTCCTGTGGTTCTGGATGATGTCTGTTTCGTCTTTTAGTTGTAATTTTGAAGTGGTTGTTCAAGGCAGCAAACTCGGGTGTTTACCTATGCCGCCATCTTGGTTTCTCCTAAGGACCAGTCTTTGATAATCTCTTTTTGTGTTTTTATTGCAAAAGTATTGTCCAAAGACAGAATAAAAGGAAAGGATAAATCATTCTGGAGTATTGATATTTGGAATCTCATTTTAAAATCTTGTTTAAGGAATGTCCCAAACTTTGTACTTTATAAAAATAGGATAATAATAATAATAATAGTCTCAAGAAATTCAGAATTAAATTTTATAATATTTTATGCTTCCTAGATTAAAAGTGCTACAGAGGTTGAGATATTCTTTTTATATGGTAATTGTTAACCTCAGAAGCTTTCTCAGCACCACTAGATCAGGGAGCTCTTTCCCCTGTACCCAGCTGTCATTTGTGAGATAGCAATATGTGAATATGTGCTTTGTGTTAAAATGTAAATGCTAAAATTCCCATGGGATTGGATATGTGATAACACATTTAAATCTTGAAAAATAGTTATCATGATTTCTTTGTTCACTGGAAACAAAAGATCCAAAAATTAAATTTTGGTATTCTAGACACATGATAGTATATAGGTTTTCCAAAGCTAATAACTGATCTGTAAGATTTTTCTTTTATTTTTCTTTTTAATCCTCAGGAATATTTTGTCTTCCATTGTTGCTTGAGTTTGTTAAGAAATCATATGTAAAATTAAATTTAAGTGGGAAAATATTTTGTTACTGGAAGGCCTTTAACTTTTTTAGAAGGTATTTTACTTTTTTAAAGCACTTTTATCTTTCTTTTTAATTACTAACCAAGCACATATTTTTGTTTTAAAAAAATCAAATACCAAAGTAAGAATGCAAAACCAAGACTTTAAAGCCTTTACTCATTTCCTTATATTGTGCTACCTGGACCTATGTTAAAGTTACACCCACAGTTTTATAACAAGTTGTCAGTTGTCACTATTGTGGCTATGCATGTAGGATAACTTAAAGCTACCTTAAATGCTTTCTACTGCCCTGAAGATCTGTATCAGAAAAAGCAAAGATATAAATGGCTTTTTTTAAAGGCCTGATTTTAAGAAGAAAACTTTGAATTTGGGGGTTTCTTTAAGTAAGGATCCTTTTTTTATAAATGTTTTATAATATGAAAATATTAGTAATAGTATTTTTCTTACAGCAAAATAATATTTAGGTAAATTTTTAGAAAGACTTTTTGTATTTACAATTGTTCCATACTTTATCACTGTACATGTTTGACTTTTAAAACATTTTTTTAAAAAAAATCTCTTAAGAATAAATCTGAGGCGTATAAACTGGCAGTGTATAATGTCTTAAATGTTGGATTCTTATGTTTACTAGTTTACAGACACCAAAAAAATATCAAATAACATGTATTTTACAAATGGGTCTGCTTTATTTTTTTCAAAACTGAAATTATACTCTGTTAATTATCCTAGCATTTAGAAAATTACTTTTATCATCGCTTTGCCACTTGACAATTGGGATGTAAAGCTGGCACTATGTGGTAACAATTCACTAAATGTAGTCTAGGCCACATGAAGTTAATTGTTTTGTATCAGAAGATAGCATTTGGTGTATAATGTTTAGTTGTAAATTTTTTTCTGGAGGAAATACTTCTGGGCTCTTAGTAGTATTAGCTTGTTTAAATCATCCTTTGTTCTCAATTTGTACTGTTTGGTTTTTTGTTTTTTTTGCTTTCTACCATTTCCTCAAATTTATTGCATGTGTTTTATAGATTTTTATGTGCTTTCTAGTGATACTATTTAGTTTGCATAATTAGCATTCACATTAGAATGACTGCTTGGAAAATCTCATCTGTCTTGGTCTATACCCACTCTCCCTGGGAATTCATCCACTCTTGTAGCTCAGCTACTTCTGCTTGGATGCTGCTACCAATTTTGCTGACTGACACTGTCATTAACTCTCTCCTATATTAGTCCTTCACTCTTCTCTTCATGTCTGCTTGTCATTTGGTTTGCCCTCCCCCTCCAATGCATTATCTATAGAGTAACTAGACTGATCTTTCCAAAATTTTAGTCTTAAGTAATTTTCTGTTTAAAGTCTTTCAGGGGTTTCCCATTGTTCTTATAATCTCCCCCAATCTCATACTATACTTAACCACTGAAATTTTTTGAGTTCCTCAAGTGTACCATGTCCACTGGGTATTAATATGTGCTCTCCACACTACCTGGAATAAAGTTCCCCATCCTTTTGCCTCAGTGACTTGTGTTTATGCTCGTCTCCTTTTGGAAGCAATTCTGAGAATCTTCCCTGACCCCACTCCTTTCTACTCACCTCTGGAGTGGTTTGGTGTATGTCCTCTAGCCTTTCATGCCATCCTGAACTTCCCTTTGTAGTCATCACATTTAATTGTTGTATTTGTCTGCTTTCTCTAGTTGACGCCTTAGAAACTAGACTTTTCCCCCCCTCATCCTTTGTCGTCCTACATCAAAAATTGCTTTATATATATTTCATTTAAGGAGTTTCTGTTTTTAAGGAATAAGAAAACTCCTAAGGGCACAGTATGGAACCTTTCTTATGTTCATGCTATCCCTAGCACTTAACATGGTTTCAGATACATGGCAGATGCTGACATTCTATGAATACCTGTGATGACCAAATTTGTGCCCAACTTTCACCTCTCCTGAATTCTAGACCCATTACCACTAGGGTATCAGGCACTTCAAATTCAATCAACCCAGACCTCAGATTCTTTCCCTCTCAGCTCCTCTCCTCTCCTCCCCTTTGATCTCCTCTCCTCTCTCTTCCTCACTCCCCCTGTTTCCTTCCTTTCTTTCATCTGTCACTGACATTTCCAAACTGGAATTTTTGTACCCCTTGCTATCTATATCAGCCAATTATCAGACTCTATTAATTCTGCTGCCTAATAATTTTTGACACTCGCCCCTAACTCCATTTATTCACAGTTGCTTTATTTCAGGCCTCCTATTACTTTCTACCTTGTTAGTTACAGAGCCTTCTAATTTATTTGTTATTTGAATTTTAGCCATTTAAAAACTAAATATATTACCATTTTTAAAGCATTATAATTTTTAATCTCAAAATGATTTTTAAAAATCCAGAAACTAGATATTTTTAATGTTTTGTCCTTCTAAATAAACAGTGTGTGTATATGTATTCATTTAGTTACTTCATTTTCAAAAATAAGAAATAAAAGCTATTATTGAATCAACTATATACAGAATTTTTTATTTTATTTCTGTTTTACACATGAAGAAGCTGAGATACATAGGTAATATGACTTTAACAGTTTCATAAGATCCAAGGCTATAATTGGGTTTCCTGACTTCCTATTCAGGATTCTTAAAATCTGGATGGTCTCCTCATTATTAGCTGTAGATTGCTCAGAAATATATCTTAAATTTAGAGGCTGTCAGAATATATAAAATGTGTGGAGTACTGTGAACACAGTAATAGATAATACAGTATTTCGTAATTCTTTTGTATCTTGATATTTGGAGTAATACATAAAGAAAATAAATTGAAAATTATATTGAATTCCCAGGCCCAAATAGAAAACAGGAAAAGTGAGAGTACATAAAAGTATATTAGACCCTGTTTGAAAAGATGTTGCAGTATTTAAACTTTAAGTAAATGAGCAAGTAGAAAAATCACTATGGTTGTAGAGAACCTTTTAATTAAAATAATGTTATTTCTAATATTTTGAAAGATGAGTTTTGATTTTTAAAAATTATTATATTAAGTTTTAATAGAGAACCTTTTAATTTGGTTCAAATTACAGAGTGGCAGAAATTAGTTGGGAAGAAACGGTATTTTCCTTTTGAATACTGCATGTGTAGTGTATGAACTAGAGGGCGTAAACACTACCTTGGCATATTTCATTGCATCCAATGTAGCAAATTAGTTTTGACCCGTTGCTAGCAGCTGCTTGGAATGAATGTGGTCCATTGTCCTTTTTATTTCTACTAAAGTTTCTTCAAATAGTTCTTTAGGGAGGTTTTTCAACCTTTCCTATTAAAGAGACATTTTGAGAGCTGCATCTTTAGTTAGTCTTTTTAATAGAATTGGAATTGAAAAGTTAGAACTTGAAAGGTGGACAAGATTTAAATAGGACAAAGAAGCATGTTTTCGGTTATGAGGAATGTGAGCCCTGACATGTCTTCTGAGAATAGTGAGAGTGGTTCATGCTAGAAAGAAGAAAGAAATAATATGGAGAGATTAGGGTAGGGCTTGATTACTGAAGGCCTTTGTATGCATGCATATAAGCATAGCCAATGGACACAGACACTAGGGGGCTGAGGGCATGTACTGGGCGGTGGAGATGGAGGGGGGTGCGGGGGGGTCAATGGGGGAAAAAGGAGACCTATGTAATACTGTATGTAATACTTTAAACAATAAAAAAAGTAGGAGAAAACAGGTGCATGGCACTGAAGTTAGAATTTACTCCTGAAGTGAGTGAATTGTCTCTGATTCAATTAGGAAATAGGAATTTTTGACACTTTAACTCAGTATGTTTTGTGTATGTCAACGTTCATTGTGTTTAAATCTAAACAAATACAGATTAAATGGTAAAGCAAGAATTATTTACCTGAAGGAGTGGGTGTGTTTTTCTTCTGTTTTCTAGTCAACGCCCTTACATCTTGCCGCAGGCTACAACAGAGTTCGGATAGTTCAGCTGCTGCTTCAGCACGGTGCTGATGTTCATGCAAAAGACAAAGGGTAGGTGTAGCCGTTTCTTTCCTTTTATGGTTTTGCTCATGGATTGTTATGCTTTGTTTTCAACATCTTATATGCTGAAGTTGTTGAACACTAGGCAAAGAATGTCATATAGACCATTTCTTTACAGCTTGTGTAGCATTTTAAGAATGTTTGCAACTTCGATTTTATTTTCATATACTACTTCTTATGTCTCATAATAGTTTCCTAAATTAGTTCTTAACTCAAGTTGCATTTCAGAAATATTAGACAAATTGAAAATTATGATAATCTATTAATATAGCTATCATTTATCTGGAATGAAAAGATTCTCTCTTATTAATAAACCAAAATCATAACTATACAGTATTCTAATTTGTTATTTCCCTGATGAAATCTTGGACATCTGAACTTGGAAAACCTAAAAGATCCGTATGAAGGTTGATGTGGTGGGGGTTGGAAGGTTAGGGCAGAGGGACTAAGAAAGCAGTCACATCATTTACTTTATGCATACGTGTATTTTGGAAAACTTTGTATGAGTTTTCTATCTAGTCTCCAGGGACATATGAATCAAGTTTGCTGTTCTGTATGATAGGCTAACATTTTCATTATCCCACCTTAAGATCTAAAAGATAACTTGACCTTACTACCCAGGTAGATAGATTCATATTACACTCTTGTGATTGGCAGCATAAAGAAGAGAAGCCCTGGAGGAGGTTTCGTTCATTTTGCCCCTTTCCATGTCAGGAAACAGAAATGAATAAAGAATTCAGTACTTGAGACAGTTACCCGAGGGGGAATCCATTCATTCCAAATCTGCTCTTTTCCGTACTCTGTTCTCTCTCGCCTGCGCCAGGTTTTGTGCCATATGTGAATGGTGTCCCGATAGTATAGGGGTACAAATGCCTGATGCTCTTGTACATCTCTATTTCCTTGTGCATGTCTGAAAACAGATGGGTGTACAATAGGTGAGTCATCAAGAGAAGTACAGCACAAAAAAGGGGGTCTTTGACTCATGTAGAAAGATAATTTAAAATGCAAGTTATAGTAGTTTGGATATTTCTTGTGCTGGTACTTACTTTGAAAATGAAACAAAAAAGTAGGAATTTTCAATTCTCTATCAATTAACATTTATTTAATGTAAACACTTCATATATAAAGCATGCAGTTGTCAGCACATGTTCTTCATTTTGCCTAAATGCTTCTCTAATTGGTGTTTTTATATATTTAAGGATTGTATACACAAAATACAAGGGAAATACAAAAGGTTAAATTATCTGTGCTTTGAATCATCTTACTAAATACTTTAAAATATTTTTAACATAATTGTATTAGGATTTATTAGATTTTTGTTGCTTAGCACTTCTTGGATAAATAACTATAAGTTGTTTGAAATTTCAGTATTTTACTTTGCCTTTTTTCATTTAGTGGACTTGTGCCTCTTCATAATGCATGTTCATATGGACATTATGAAGTCACAGAACTGCTACTAAAGGTAAAAGAAATAAAAAATAATGAATTTCATTTGCTCTTTTTAACTTGTCATGAGGTTTCATGTGTTTATTAGTGAATAAGATTTTTAAGAAAAGCAGTTTTAAAATATTATCATTGCTTAAACTGTTTATAAAAGCTGAAATTAAAATATTGTTGACATTTCAAAGAGTTGTAACTGAATTTTACAGTGAAATAAATGTCTTCTGAGCTTTATTTAGTCCAGCAAAATGATTACTGACCTAAAACTTTTTCTCTTAATTCAGCATGGAGCCTGTGTTAACGCCATGGATCTCTGGCAGTTCACGCCTCTGCATGAGGCTGCTTCCAAGAATCGTGTAGAAGTCTGCTCTCTGTTGCTTAGCCATGGTGCTGATCCTACGCTGGTCAATTGCCATGGGAAAAGTGCTGTGGATATGGCGCCAACTCCTGAGCTCCGAGAGAGATTGACTTGTATGTATTTATATCCTGAAGTCAAAATTATTTGTTGCAGATTAGACTATCTCACTTTTGTTTAGTTATAAGGGCTGGTGTTTTGTCTAACTTGGATGATATGCTTCCATTCTTCCTTCCTCCCTCCCTCCCTTCTTCCCTCCCTCCCTCCCTCCTTCCCTCCCTTCCTCCTTTGGGGAGTTTACACTAGCTGTTCCTTCTGCTTTCAGCATTGCTTACTCTCCTTTCCTTGTCTTTATTTAAATACCACCTTTATAGTGAGACTTTCTTGATTATCCTATTTCAAATTTCTACACCATCAACACCTTAGCAATTTCTATCCCCTTTCTAACTTTTCTGTTGCACTAAATCACTTTTTAATATTGTAAATGATATCCCTATTTATTATATGTACACTAGTTTATAATCCTCATTTCTTTTTTAAAAAAATATATTTTATTGATTTTTTACAGAGAGGAAGGGAGAGAGATAGAGAGTCAGAAACATCGATGAGAGAGAAACATCGATCAGCCGCCTCCTGCACATCTCCCACTGGGGATGTGCCCGCAACCCAGGTACATGCCCTTGACTGGAATCAAACCTGGGACCTTCCAGTCCGCAGGCCGACGCTCTATCCACTGAGCCAAACCGGTTTTGGCGTCATTTCTGATCTTAAACTTGTCTTCATGATTCCACAGGAATCTTATATTTATATACTATATATATTTTGTGTTTATTCAAGCCTAATTCTAATTCACAAGTTGAGGCTCCCCCCTCCCTTTTTGTAAAGGATGAGTCGATCAAAAACCATATATTGAATACCTACTATGTTCCATGCACTGGAAATACATCTGAATAAAACCAGAAAAATATCTCTGAGTTCTTAGAGCTTATATTCCTGTGCTGTTGGTAATAATATATATCATCAAGTTTGCACAATTCTGTTTTACTTCTTTTGTGTGGTATAGCCAAAGTGAATTCACATTCCCACATTTACATAAGATAATTTTTATGATTTGGTGGAAGTAATCTAAAATACTGATAATTTGAATTCAGTATGATTTGAATTCAGTTTAAATTTCTCTAGACTAATGGATAAGCCAAACAAGACCATACTTTTTACTTGAAATCAGTTCTTAGTACATCACCTTACTTTGCAGTTGTCAGGATCCTACTCCTAACATATGACAGTTTATAATTCTCTCAGGTATCTTTTTATATGTCTGTTGGTCATCTGTGTCTTTGGAGAACAATTTTCAGCTTTTTGTTAACAAGTTGTCATATCAGAATACAAACCAACTTGTAAAATAGAAAATAAGATTATATGTTTTTAATAAATAAGGGTATTAGACTCTTATTTATGTAATTAATTTAGAAATCTCTTTTAAAAAATCTCTTACTTGCTTATAGCAATAATCATTACTTACATTTATTGGTGGAGGCAATAATGGTAGTACAGCACACAAAAATTCAATCAGCCTATCCTTCCTCTGTCATTACTTGAGTTTTCATTTAATATATGCTTTTATGTCAGTAAATGTTGGTCTGTCTTTTTTTTTTTTTAAGAGCTGTAAAGTATTTCAGTGTATAAGTGTTCACAAATTATTTAACTAGTTTCCATTTGGTGGACAGTTAGATTGCTTGTTTGAAAACTTTCCTGGAATGAGTATATTGGTATGTGTATCTTTATGAACTCTAGGAGTATAAGTTTAAAAAGCCTTATTTCAGATCATACATAATTCATAATTTTTCATTAACCTACACCCTCATCTTTTGCACCTTCATTAATGTATCACCATGCTGCTGATGTTGCTAAAGTAGAGGACTGTATGAAGTTAATAATTGTCTTAATTCACAATTATGCTAATGTTTTTTATAAATTTAAAAATTTTATTTCAACTATTATTTTATTAACAGATGAATTTAAAGGCCATTCTTTACTACAAGCAGCCAGAGAAGCAGACCTAGCCAAAGTTAAAAAAACACTTGCCTTGGAAATCATTAATTTCAAACAACCACAGTCTCATGAAACTGCACTGGTAAGATTTTATTGTTAATCCGTTCTGTGGGTTGATAATTGCAGTGTAAGCACAAAATATGATTTTTATTTCAGAAACCTTAAAGTAACCGTGGTATCTGTAGTGACAGGGATTTGCATTTTAATGGTTGCACTGATTTTTAATTTGGTTCAGGAGGCTATTGCTTTCTTGGGTGAGAGAATAGACTTGCTCAACCTTGATTTGGGAATTAATTTTACATTTGCCTTTACCCAATCATATTGTAACAAATCCACCTTTGTGGCCAGTGCTTTCATAAATATAAGATGTGATTTTCCTCTATAGAATCTTCTTTTTCTTGTGGTTACTAGATAAATATATTTGTTTTCTATAGAAGATTAGAATATTTTCAGAGATACTTCAATTATCCTTTTGAGTAATCGTATTTATTTGTTTTCTATAGAAGATTAAAGCATTTTCAAAGATATTTGCATTATTCTTTTGAGCAATTGCATTCAAAGAATTATTACATTCATTATAGAAAATGGTAAGAGTGTGCATTTTTTGTTCCAGACTGTACCAATTGTCTTTAATATTGAAACATTTGTGATGCCTCTCTCAAGGACCTCTAAATATACTTCAGTTAACATTCTCTCATATATCTGACACAAAAATAGTGAAACTGTCATCAAAACATGTGGAAGCATTAAAAGAGTTACCAAACTGAAAGGGGCCAATTCTATGTACATCTAAATATATGGCTCTAAAACAGGTTCAGAGACATTCATGCTACACAGCATTATTCCAGGTGATACTCAGAGTCACAGAATAACCTTGACCTGCTTTTTGGAGTGTTCATTTTATTCATTAGAAATTAATTTTTTACTTTTTAAATTTTAATGCAGACATTAATATAAAACAAAGATGAATATAAAACTTATGTAAATATAGGATAAAACATAGAATTTCTGAGAATACGTCTCCCTCTAAGCTCTTTGAGGTCTCGTACCTTCGTGCCTGCCCCTGGGTATAAAGCCTTATTTATTCTTCTGTAGTGCTAGGAGTACCTGTGTGAAAGAGTTGGAGCAATGATGATTTATGTGGCTGACGTTCTAATGAAGAATTGAGAAATTTAGTTACAGATTTTTATAGCTTTGGAGAGACAGTAAATTTGGACTGGATAATTATTTATTGGCTATAGGAAAAGATGAAAGTATTTCTTAATGCTTAACCAAGAGCATAATTTCATCTTGCTGCCAGGGTTATGTTTTGTCCTTCCAGTGTATTTAGGAGGAATTTTGATCATCTTCATAATGTAAAATGTATAAGTATATTTTAAGATAACAGTGTTCAGCACATTGCCATTTAATTCAGAAATCTACTTTTAAATAGAAGTTCATTTTATTGACTTTTATTTACTTTACAGCACTGTGCTGTGGCCTCCCTGCATCCCAAACGAAAGCAAGTGACAGAATTGTTACTTAGAAAAGGAGCAAATGTTAATGAAAAAAATAAAGAGTAAGTGTAATTGCAGCTGTTATTCAATTCCTAAAGGGGAAATGCAATAAAAGTTAGTAAATCACCTCTTCCTTTCCCTCTCTCCATAGTTTCATGACTCCACTGCATGTTGCAGCAGAAAGAGCTCACAATGATGTCATGGAAGTTCTGCATAAGCACGGAGCAAAGGTAAGGCACACACCTGAGATGAAGTGCCAGACTTGGCATTGAGTAGCTAGGTGCTCTTAATTAAGACTGTTAATTTCTTCAGGAAAATCTGAGAGAAAGTAATGTTATAAGACTGTTAGCATGTATTTGAATTCATTGATTCTCCTTTAAAAGCTGATTTAAGTCTTGTTCCTAGTAAAAATAATTTGTGTTTTATTGTAATTTACTGTTATTCTCTTATAAAGTAATAAAATGTAACTACAGTCTGATCATTTGAAGTACATTTCAGCTTTACATTGTTTTAAGTTAATACTGGAATTAATATATTTTATAGTTCACATCAGTGATGGTTTACGGGAATGATAGTCAAAATATCGCCCACTTATTTTAAAGAATATCTATAGTCCTTCACACTCATACTGGTAATTTTTTTCAAATAACCTCAACACTAAAGAATTTTAATTTGTTAAAATACTAATCTTTATTTAAGAATAAAGAATTTGAAATGTATTAATACTTAGTACACAGGTTATTGAGGCAACCTCCTTAGGTCCATGTGTCAACCTGAGTCATGTCTACGCCCAAGGTGTTTCCTAGGGCAAAATGGGAGTTTGAGAGGGAGGGATTGACAGGGAGGCCACAGCACAGTGCTGTAAAGTGAATAAAAGTCAATGAAATAAACTTCTATTTTAAAGTAGATTTCTGAATTAAATAGCAATGTGCCGAACATTGTTATCTCAAAATACACTTATATATTTTACATTATGAAGATGATCAGAATTCCTCCTAAATACACTGGAAGGACAAAACATAACCCAGACAGGGGAAAACTCACTCATCTGTTCACTTTCAGCATGTTGTGACATTGTACTTTACATGTGTCCTAATCAGTACATTAGGACATTATCCTAAACCAGTGGCTCTCAACCTTCCTAATGCCGTGACCCTTTAATACAGTTCCCCATGTTGTGGTGACCCCCAATTTCATTGTTACAAATTGAACATAATTAAAGCATAGTGATTAATCACAAAAACAATATGTAATTATATATGTTTTCCGATGGTCTTAGGCGACCCCTGTGAAAGGGTCGTTCAACCCCTAAAGGAGTCACAACCCACAGGTTGAGAACCGCTGCTCTATTGTATTTTCATTAACACCTGTTAATTGCTTTTTTTGTACACTTTCACTACAAGGTGTCTTGATTGGGGGGGGGGGGGGATACACATTGTCACTCTAGCTAAAGGAATACAGAGACTAGTGTCAACTCTCAGGTACTTAAAATCAGGTTAAGATTTAGACATACATATGTTTTCTTAATTAAAGTCGAGTTACAATGTGAGTTAATAGTAAATGCTTCATTACAGGAATGTCACGGAACAGTTCATGATTACCTACCAAATGAGGGATATGGACAATGATAGATTCAAATTTAGTAGAGAAATGAACTCAGCCTCTAGGTTAGCTCTTTGAGACTAGATTATTTCACACTGAAAGATTCCCCTTAGCCAGTTCCTTATAGTCTGCTTGCTGGTTTCCAGGACTGTTTTGGCATGTTTGAATCATAATTTTATGTCCTATACATTTTAAGCCAAATACCTTTGAAATTTCTATCATCCAGTTAGCCTCTTTAGGAAAATTATTATTACTACTCAGATAGAAATAAAGATATATACCTCAGGTTGCTGTCTGTAGATATAGCAGGGAGACGGGGAGGGAATGTGTTTCATCTCTAAAACTGCCAGATGTCTGTTATTTTTCTGACACCTTATACAGTTGGAGTATAACACATTAAATGTAGCATTTTTCTTATTTGAAGCAGCTTCTGTACGTTAGTGAAAATAGCCGTTTTAGTGCTGAAGAGTAAGCATTTCTGATGGCATCCTCTATCATATCCTAATAGTGGATATTTTGATAGAGAAAAATAGAGAGGACTGGGTCTAAAAATGACTTGATCAGAAAAACTGATTTAACATTCCCAGAATTCTTCAGTAAATATGTATGTTGATAGTTCCAAATAATATTAAGAATTAAAGTTTTATGTCTTTAAAATATGGAGAGTAAATTAATGATGATGTATATTAAATAAATCTGTCAAATATATATTTTAGATTGAAAACAAATTCTGGACAGCAGTACATACATACATTTTAATTTGAAAGCTCTAGAAGAATCCTTGTGAGTGGCGATCTCATTTATTTGATAATTCAGCTTGATTACCATTGAGGCAATTATATATATAATACTAGATTGTATTTCTTTGTTTCTTTAAGAGTTTGATTTTTATATATAAAGAATATTTTAAATGTAATTAAGCCCAAGTTTTTTGCCTCAGGGAATAATTGTCAGTGTGTGAGTCAGAATTGTCAAAGCCAAGAATACAAAACACAGGTTGTCTCAGAGATCTTCCAGGTCATAGGCTATATTCTGTCCTTGAGTTGGCCTTCTTTTAGTGCTTCCAGTATTGCTATTGCTATTGTGGGTGACATGCATGAGTCATTTAATCTTCTGTATTTCTCCAACAATAGAGTGAATTACTATCACTTGTCATTTATCTTATAGAATGATAGAGATTAGAATAATAAATCCAGACTTAGGAGAGCCTCCTTTAAACAGTTTTCTGGGATCACAGTGAAATAACGTTACACTAGCTCCAAAATATCACTCTTCTTCACTGGGAAATGGAGTTAGAGCAGTAACACAAATCCTTCCAGATTGTCCTTTTAAAAATCGGGGGATGGAGATTGATCTGTAGCCACGTAAAACAGTTACTGCTGCCCTCTGAAAACAACGTACACTCACTGTGGATGGCAAGCACGTCTTGCTCTTCTGTGTTGGGCCACTTCAGAAAATATGGAATAAAAAATGAGGTTGGCCACTTTTAAGAGATCCCTGATTATATCCCAGGACTGAATAAAAGGATAAACAAATGTAGCACATTGGCAGTATTGATAAAGTTAAATATAAGAGGAAGTTGGGAACCTTAAATTTTTTTCAATTTTGAATCAATTTAAAGATCTGTAATGGCTCAAGCAGATAGTTGATTTTTCATCCAGTAGTTATTTTCCCCTTTCTTCCTTGCTTCAGAACAGGGGTCAGCAAACATTTTTTTAAAAGTCCAAATAGCAAATATTTAGGCTTTGTAGGCCAAGAGACTAAATTGATGATTTTATGTAGATATTTATATAGCCACTTAAAATATAATCATAAAAAATGTGAAAACCATTCTTAGTTTGCAGGCAGTATAAAATAGCCCACTGGTGGAAATTGACCTGTGGATCCTGTAGAACTTTTTTTTTTTTTTTTGCATGTATGGAAGCTTCAGGGAAGGCTGGATCTGAAACAATTTTAGTAATTTCATTCTCTTTGCTAGTGACTGGTGTAGACATGAGTTTAGGGAACATTTCTGGCCCCAACCATAAAGAGAAGTCTGCTGGGAAAGGTTTCTTCTCTTTTAAAATAGATGTAAAAAACTTGCCTTTTGGCCTTGGATGAGAATGTATGGAGTGATGGATGCATGGAGCTGCCAGTCATATTTTGACAATAGAGGAGTAAGCCTGGAGTCCTAAGATTGGTGGACCTGAGAAATTTGACATTTGTACCTAGTGAGAAATAATTCTTCCTCACAAAAACTCTTATAGAATGTGTAATATTTTCCTGTTTTCCATTGTTATTCTTTCTAAGTGGGTTGTACTAAGTATCACCAAATTGTTCTAGCTTTGTTGTTCTACTTGTTTCTATTACATTACTTGCTAATATCTTTCAGTGACTTCTTATAGTACCTCCACTATGTTGTCTGATAAAGCACTCCACAGATATTCTTTAGTTACTAATACCATTTAGAATTTGAGGGAAGAATTATAATATTCTTTCATAACAAAAAATGCATACATTTACTAAAGCAAAGAATTTGTGTTATTCTGGTCTGACTTGTACTTTGTCTAAGAAAATTGGGCTTTCTGAAATATTAGAATATAATATTATTTATAGAAATTAGTAAATACCTTATATATAAATATACGAAAGAGGACATAGAGCTTCAATATATGGTCAAGTTTTTAGCTTAGGGCTACAAGTCAATTCTCCTCAAGTGGTTGGAATTGTTTTAGCTAAAAAGTTCCTTTTATAAGTTAATTCTAGTAACCATTTACATATTATTCTATTTTTATTTTTCATTCATTCAGAAGGCATTTCTGAAGCTCCAGCTATGTTCTTAGGGAGGGTGAAAGTGCAGGGAAAAATAACATTGCAGATTGTCATAATCATTGTTTCTAAATAACTGACAATTTACAAAAAGCATCTAACACAGAGCCTAGTAGTTGTGTTAGTTGCATCCCTTTCTTAAGTGAATTCTTAGGAGATGAACAACTAGTTCTGTTTTTGACAGGTGTCTATGAAGGGAAGGAATGTGAAGCAGAGAGAATAGCATGGTAGAGAAATGAGAACACAGAATACACAGTAGAGTTGCACTCAGGGCCACCCCTTTCAAAACATAGAGAGAAAAAGAGGAACAAGAAATACTAATTTAAAGAATTTTAATGAGTGGTGATTTTTGGCTAGTATTTCACTCCATGAGTGCATGCCCATGAATAAATGAGATAATAGAAGTGAATCTACTATTTTCTATATTACGCTCAGCTTCACCATACATATTTATAGAGAGGACCTCTTATTACACATAGACTGTTTTTAATGTTTAAGATACTTTCTGTACTTTATCTGCTATTTAGTCAATCTGCTCAGACACTGGAGGTAAGCTAGCTAGTGTTAGATTTACCGGGAAACTTTACATCTGTCTCTCCTATTGTATTGCTACGGTGTTTTCAAGGATAATCTTGACCAAAGGCATATTTTACTTTTGGCAGTGACTTTAGAAACTAACTTTCATAAAGTAGATAGGGCTTCTCATAATCCGATAAAGCTGGAGCATAGCCATATCAGACTGTGATGGAAAAATACAGAAAGCAAGGTGGTACAAAAGTAAATTGTGGTTGCCTTAAATGATGCTGAGGGGTTCATTCAGGTTTATTTGAATAAGTCACTAAGCTGAGGAATAACTTGGTAAGATCAGTATTTTGGAGTAATAATTCTCAAGCCATGTTCCCATGATTTAATAAGCTGCATTGAGGATTTTCATAACTATAATTGAAGAATTGAGTGGGTTTCTTATCTAATTTCCAGAAAAATATTAATGATTAGAATATTCTCAAATTTAAGTTTTTCTCCTGTGGTAAAGAAATATTCATAGGAAAAAAATCAAGAAGTTTACTTTGGCAACTTGTGTTTTCCATTAGTACATGCTAATGGCTGTGCTTTTATGCTGTCTATGTATAATCAGTGATTTTTCTGATGGCAAAGTTGCTGTAATTAAACATGTCAGTATTTCATGGCGAATTTGTAAACCACCATTAAGAATCTAGATGAACCCTTGCTTAACCAAGTGTGACGGCCTTACTTGTAACGATGCAAGACTGGAGACAGGGAGACTCATTGTCTTAAATCCTTTTTTTCTTATTCATGCATTTGGTAGGTGTGCACAAATGTTTTGAATAACCAGCAAGCAGATATTTGATAATTTACTATGCACCATTAACAGGAGCTTTATAGAGGACCAGAAAAACCTAATATAGTCCATATTGTCAATAACCTTAGTTTTACTTGGGAAGCAAACTATCACGATGTTATAATATTTCAGATAGCACTGACTTGACAGGTGTTCAGAAAGAAATTATTGAGGCTTCAAATCTTCAAGGAGGGCTTCTTAGAAGAGTGGGACTTTCACGGGATCTCATAACCCAGAGCAGCAGAAAGAAGGGCTTTTCTCTGAAGTAGCAATATGTACAATGCACATGGACTTGGGCTGACTGGAGGAGAAGGTATTTACATGGCACCCTGGAAAACAGCTTAGACCAGTAGGGCTTTTCTCTGAAGTAGCAATATGTACAATGAACATGGACTTGGGCTGACTGGAGTAGAAGGTTACATGGCATCCTGGAAAACAGCTTAGACCAGAAAGGTTTGATCAAATCATGAGCATGGTCCAGAAGTTTAATATCCTAGCTTTAAAACTAACTAAATTATTATTCTTTACAACTCTTCAAACCTTTAAAAATTGAACATGTGAATCTTTGAATTATTATTCTTTTTGTTAAATGTGTTTGTAATTCAACTAGGGCATGTTATAATTATTTACTAAAATCAGAAAAAAAATGTAATGAGTCACTTTAACTGTCTTTGTTTACATATTCTGTTGTTTTTATATCTAAGAACAAGTTTGATAAAACATATTCAACCAGGAGTATTTAATGTACATCTTTAATGTGATAGGCAGTGGATATCGGACAAAGTCCTGGCCATATTCTAGTGTTGAGGGGAATGGCAGG